ATTTCACGATGGTGGATGACCCCTCGGTCTTCTCACAGACGCATAATCACACATTCACCATAGTCACACATTCACGGGCTGCCCTTGATTTTCTACAATTGTTTTCCGCTTTTCTTTCATTGTTAATATTCTCGCTAGTACTGACTGTTTATTGCACTACGAATTAGCAATCTAAAATTTCTATCTATAATTCTCGGATGGCCACTATTTACTGCGGAACTGATCGCTCAACTCAATCATGGGTATTGCAAAAGCTTTCACATATTTATTCGAACTGCTTTATGACAGAAAGGGCTGTTATGGACTGGTCATTCCTAGTTGTTTTTGACTGATTGAATTTTATTTGTGTAGTAACGATGAGTCGGCTATCGGTCTGAAAGTGACGAAAATCGTGGACGGACCACATCTCGGCCGACAAGCGATGGCTTGTCCACTTTCTACAGGTACGATTCTGCTACTGTTATTTTAGAGGTTATTGAAAGTGCCACTTTCCAGAGAGCGGTTTGGAAGTCATTCCCCTGAGGAATATATGAATTTGCGAATATCCGGGTTTGACGACAAACTAGAACGAGAAGAGATCAAGGAAATTCTGGCTAATGAGTTTCGAAAATTTGCACCATTTGAGGTATATTTGAGGCTGCGTTCATGCTTTACGTCAGCGTTTTGGGCGGCTTGGAAAGAATAGATATCAATCTAGCCTTTTGCGCTTTTGTGCGTGGTCCTGTTACAAAACCCTGTGACGGATAGAGTACAGCAGCTGCCAATTCATCGAAACGTGGAAGAATCATATAGCGAGCCAAAAAAACGGGCTTTTTCAAGGGGAGGGACTCCGGGGTGGGTGAACCACTTATAATCCGTGAAAAGCTGGAATGTGCGAAGTCACAACGGCCATAGAGTGCCATGCGGACGAGAGAGTGCAGAGAAAAACAGAAGATCGACGCGTTTGAAGGGATTGAGTTCAAGTTGTCCGTAGACCCTTTTGCGCGGGTATGTGACAAGAGAATCGTAATTCGCTGCGCTGATGGGCGTCGCGTGCGACGTCGCGCCCACAAATGATAATAGAGGGCGTAGATGGCGACAGCAGGCATTGTAGAACCGAAGGTAGCCATAAATGTTTTTAGTTTCTGAGTCCACAAGAAATCTGGTGCTCCAGTCGACAGGCGAAGAACACTAGTTAAAAAAACGCCGCGGTCCATCGCCGCCGTTTGAGCGGCAATGTACGATTCTCTTGCCCCTCTTCCCTTCGGCGCCCGCTAGCGTTTTCAGCGACCGCCCGCGAAAAGTACAAAACCACCCGCAACATGTTTAAAAGGCTGGCATGCGCTCAAAACGCTAGATCTATACCTATAGTCGTTCGAAACGCTGGCGTACGCTCAGAATGCCGATGCGAAGTATGAACCCACTACAGGGATTATAGATCATTTCCTTGCCACACAAATTTCTTATGTGTCGTTCTTTCTAGATCAAAGTAGTTCGAAATCCTGGAGATGAGGAAAGATTGGCATACGTCAATTTTGAACGAAGAGATTGTGCCAGAAAAGTCAGGTGAGTCACCTAATTTTAAGAAGCGCTTTCAGACTATGCGAACGGATCGCTCGAACGATTGGGGCGCGTTCGGATCCCGCGTTCACACAGTGCCAATTTGAATTGTGCCCTTGCGGCGTTAAATCCACGATGCGCCGTTTGCCGGTGGAGCGGCGCCGGTCGTGATCGCTCAAGCCATCCGATCGCAAAGTGTGAGCGCGCTCAAAGAGCGCATGTGCGCCTCCACCCTATAGCTATTTGAAAGGCTTTCCCTTTTCAGATACACTGTAATGGATCGCTTAAGAAAAGTACTTGGTCGACGTGTCCTTTGTGATCCTGCGGGAATTCTCCGCGACCAAGAAGGAAAATATATTCCCGACCGTTTCAATCGTGCCCTTCAGGTGAACCACAGGGATTTCTAGGTATATCAGGCTTTTCGCCATGATTTCTTTTTAGGGTGATCGAAGCGGGCGCCGTTCACCCGATCGAAGATCACGTCCCAAGGAACCACCCCAATGGAGGTTGAAAGAAGACGATTCCGATGCTACGAGAACTCTTTTTGTTGGAAATATGCCATCAGACATAAGAGAATCCGAGATTCGCAAAGTGAGCCACTTGAAAATTTTTGTTTCTATCCGTGGTTATCCTTTAGTTTAGCGCTGTAGGCCTACACGGGGGCATTTCGCACTTTCTCTAGTTCATTTTGTTAGTTCATGTGGAATAAAAGCTCCTGTAAACTTCGGTGAGGCTGCGAAATGGCGAGTGCTTCGCTTGCAGGAATTTGCAGGTCCTCACAAAGCGGCCTGTCACCCCCAGCAAGCCAAACTGCGTCCTCCGTTCATATGTTCCCGTGGCAATTAAACCATTTCTTTTTTATACGGTTATCGGTGGAGGTGGATTAGTGTAAGCAATTGGTGGAACTAATTGAAAATTCCTTTTTGTCGAATTTCCTTCACTCACCCCGGCGTTTCTTTACCTTTCTGGCTCGAGCCAGAAGAGCAAAGAAGCCCCGGGGTGAGTGAACAGTTGTGGGTGTCGGTCAGGTGGTTTGCTATTCGTATTCGTGGTTTTGCAGCCACGCTTCACTTATGTTCTGAATGGTGTGCTTTGAACGGAAAAAAAAACTTGAAGACGCTCCCCGCGTTCATTTGACGGTCAGGGGTATTGCTCGGAAATGGTAGTGCTGCCTGCAAGCATGAAGTGCTACTTTAGCAGCTCGAAAATGCGAGGGAAGCACTGCCCGCTCGCGGTGAAACCACAGCTCCACCCACTAGCCACACCAACGTCCAACTCGCTTCTTTAAGTGCTACCCTCAGTGTTCGGTTATTCCGCTGCTGCTTCTCTCCATTCAAAATGGTGGGACGTGATGATAAGGAGAAAGAGTCGACTCCACCATTCACGATCTTATCATTATTTGAGCACAACTCTCCATTTGTTGGCGCAGTTTGTCTACGGGGGGTGGCATTTTACTTTGCTACTTCCCATCGACGTGTCGGCCTATCTAGACAGCCTCTTCTCGAGTTGACAGGTTTTAACATGATGGCTTGACTACCTTGTTCCAGCTTCACAAGAGTTCACAGGTTTCGCCAGAGTGAGACATGTAAACCGGAACTGAGGAAGCAATGATAGTACAAAATGCCCCCCCGTCGACAAACAGCTCCCCATTTGTTTAACGCGAGGCGCGCTTTCAATACTCCTTTTACCGCTTAGTAGGAAGAGTTCAACGTTCGTTTGACACCATGCGCCTTTGCGAATACTGTACACTTAGCAGATGAAATCCAACAGTTGATGCTTCCAAGTTTCCTTTAGGTTTTCGAAAGGTATGGCAAAATTGAGGATATTGATATCAAAACCCCGGCGAACACTGATGCAGCCTACGCGTTCGTCATGTTCCAGGTATTCATGCTCAAGTTATAGACCGTATTTCGCTTTCGAGAAAAGGATTATTTTCATTTGAAGAATCTCGAACAAGCAATGGAAGCGAAGCATGGTGAACATGATCGCTCTATAAGACCCGGTTCGGTGCGCTGTAAAATTGGTTACGGCAAAAGTCAGGTAATAGTAGCGTTTACTTCGTATCTCCTAAACGACGGATATTCATCCGTATTAATTCCGTTCTAGACCTCACGTCGCCTGTGGGTAGGTGGCCTAGGCTCGTGGACTACTGCAGAAGCTCTTGCTAAAGAATTCGATCGTTATGGTCCAATAGAAAAGCTCGAGTATGAAGTAAGTCTGCTGCTGTTTTTCTAGTTTTCCGAGTGCCTAAAGACAAATGAGGCACTCACCTCCTTGGACATCTTTGCTATGTGCGAGGAATCGGTCGCAGCTGCAAGTGAACGTGCCACTTTCTCCACTCATACTGGCACGCGAGCAGAGCTGTAAAAGGGTCGCGTACTCGGTGGGTCCTCCAGACTCCGCGGGGTCCGCCCCGCGTATCCTCAGGTGCCAGCTTTTGAAGACCAATGTCCCGCAGTGGAATTTCCCGCGGGCAGAAAAGGAAAAGGCCGCAGACAAGTATTGTGTTTGACTATGGCTAGGCGCCTGAGTGGGAATGCGGCACTTGTCAGGGTATGGAGACGGCATCCAGGCATCTCTACTCTCCACCTCCGTTCTCGTGCACTTTTGTCCAAAGAAAGTGGCACCCTGCTGCAGTTGCGGACCCTTTCCCTACACGCGACGAGGATCAGGTTTCACATAGGCGAGTGTGCAGTTTGTCTTTAACGCTGGTGAAATGCGGGTGAAATCAATGTAACAACTTTCAAGGCTGGTGCCGAGTTTGCGTACATCCGATTTGCGGATACAAATGCTGCCACCGACGCATGCAGAGCAATGAAAAACTTTCCACTTGGCGGCAGGGATAGATGTATAATGGTTGATTATGCAAAGTAAGGGAGTTCATTTTGCAAGTTCAAAGTACCGAATGTTCAAAGAAATCGGTCATGTTTAAGAGACGACACCGCGAAAGAAGCCAACGCAGGGAGTGGTAGGAAAAGAAGAGCAACAAAATCTCCAACTGGTGGACCCAGAACGCCGCCAGGATCACCAAAACCTATAGTGAAAACTTTTGAGGAACTCGATGAGGAATACGCCACAACTTGGCAAGGACAGGTACAGCATTCTTCTTTTTTTGATCTCTCCTTTGGGTTAGTTGCAGTTTGGAAGTATTGCATTCAGGTGTTGCTCAAGAAGACGGAATATAGCATCAAATTGTACCGGATAGGTGGAACTGAGAGACTTATCCAAAAGTTATTACGAGATGATGATGGGAATGCCGTCAAATTGCACATCACTCAGAGGTGATTATTGCTCTTATGATGCATTTGAATCTCTAGCAACCGATTGAATCGAACAGTGAAGATGTGTTAGAATCAGACAATAAGCTGATCCGAACGTTTTTGTGGGTGCCGACTATCCACTGCTCAGAAAGGAAGTGTTATAATATCCTTTATGAGAAATTCTGACATCATTCTGTTGTTTCCTGCAGCCTTGCTATGAACGGCGTGGTGTGTCAAGAGTAATGAGTTTGGCGCGGCGTCAGCCTCTTCTTCGCTTGTAGCAGCTGTTTCCCACTCGTTAGCTTCAACAACTGGTGGAGAACGGGCTTGCGGCGCGCCATACCCATCCCCGCTGACACGCCCAGTCATCCTCAGCGAACAATACTGTACACATCTTTAAACAGCTCAGCTGTCATGAGTCCATGGGTTTTTCAAAGCTCCAGACATTTACGGTGAATTTTGTGTCACACGACTAAGTGTCGCGCAAAAATCGAAGCGTTTACATAGTGAATTTCAAAATGGTCGGCTATATTTCGATTTGTAAAGCCATAACGTATAATGCATTTCAGGCTGGCGCTGTCGGGTCAGGAAGGACTTTTGGAAAGGTTGACGAATTCCTCTAGTAAACAGCTCAGTTTGATGATAGCAGTTGGAAAGCATATAGATGATATTCGACCGCTAGTGCGATATCTTACAGAAAAAG